CATTCATGCAGCTACGCTTCCCCCCCCCCCGTATTTATTCACTCCCAGCTCTGACACAAACCTCAAGAGATATTTCAACCTGTTGCTGGGTGGTTGACTTACTCACATTCGTTTTTTTCAGCATTCCTTGCAGCTTCTTACCCCTAGATCCCTTTGCTGTTGCCCATCTTGCTCTATATGTGGCGATTTCTCTTATTTTCTAAGCGTAAAAAAATTTACCCAGAAAAATTCAACTCATCTTTCTCTACCAGCTGCCATTTTTCACAGCATCCAGAGTAACTGACAAAGCTGCAGACAAGTACCCTGTATTTCTTTCAGCTGATGAACAGGTACCCTTTCAGTACTGTATAGTCCAGGCTCGAAGCCCTTGTATGTTACAGTATCTGGACTGCCCAGGGCTTTGCTCTTCCAGATTTTCCTCCTCTTCACCAAGGTCTGCCAAGAGTCTCTCACTTTGGCCCTGTAACTGAGCCTCATTTCCTGGGTTTAAGGAACTCGTGAGGAAGTAAGGGTGTCATCCTGATATATTGGGAAGAGTCCCAGGACGTGTCAAATACTGAGGCAAGTATTTGTGCACTCAGCTTTGCTGAATAGTTCATGTCAAAACTGATGCAAGATTCAGCAAGCTCATTACAACAGTATGTACCTCCATTACATCCCAATGTATTAAGCATCTTTTGTTTGAACCTTTGTAAATATGACTGGCTTTGATTGAAGTAAGTAAACGTACCATCTGTTTACTAGTTTTATAGATTTCAGAGAATTAGATTTCAAAGAATCACTTTCCTAGCCTGCAGACCAGTTAACCATCATTAAAATCACTCATGTGATGTGATTAGAGAGCGAAGACTCCAGAGACCTGAGTTCAAAGCTTCTCTCAATCATGGAACTCATGGCTGAATGACCATGGTCACATTTGCTCAGCTTAATCTACCTCATAGGGTTGTTGTGAGGAGTAAGGGAGCCTTTTACACACCCTTGAACTCACTGAAGGAGCAGCAAAATATAAATATAATGAATAATTGTGAACTCTTCCGCATACTTAGTTTTATTTAGGTAACTATTGTTGATAGCTGTTGCAGGAAAAGCAAACAAAGCTTTGGGGCATCCCAAAAACTAACATAAGCTTTCACAGGTTAGACTTCTGTTTATGAATCTATGTTTTGAAAGGTAGACATAAAACAGTAAAAATTTTCTATTTGAAATGTTGGGTCAATAATAACCTACCTTGCATGCTATACTTTTGAATGGTTTGGGATTGATGAAAATTTTATGAGGCTTATTTCCTTTTCTGCATACTGTGCTCATGGAACACATAGCCATTGATGGGAATATTCTCCACAGCTGTCCGTGTTAAGTAACAACAAACATGTGCATGAGGATTCATGCTGAGTTAATCCACATTTGGTTACACTAAGGCTGCAATCCAATGCATGGTTAGTTGGGAACAAGTTCCATGGAGCTTACTTCTGATGAGACATACATAAGAATGAGCTGTAAGGCAGAAGGACTTGAAAATAAATCCAATTTAAAGCAACAGGACAACTTATGAATAAAATGGTTATGATTGGATTGAAAGCAACAGGATGCTGTCATCTTCTGCAAGTTTTATGTGACACTACTGAGTTCACTGATTTTAGTGTGACCGAAAATGAGATCTGAACATTTTTCATTGACAGGAGAGTTTTTGAAATGATTGCTGTGAAGAAGAAGAAAAACATCAAGCAACATTTCAGTTTTCTAAAAAACATAAGGTAGTGTGCTAAAATAAACCAGTATGCTAGATGAAAATCAAGTCTAAGTTACAAAAGTGCTTTGGAGAAGGGACAAACAATCCTGATGAAAGAAATACAGTACATGTATTTATCAGAATCATGCCAGTAGCTAATCCAATGAATCAGGTTTGATTGAAGCACATCTGAAATTCTAGCAAGCAGTTGTAAGACAGTAGATAATATTGAGCTGCATGAACCAACGGGTGAACTTTAAATATGTTTATTTTTAGAAATGTTTATATCGTTATGATATTCTTACAATAACATGAATGGCAATGGGACGAACGACTGCAGTAAAAGTTCCCAAAGACTTCCCCATGCTGAAAAGGTTCCATAGAGAGCCTCAGGACATGACTGGCAATGGCTGAGGGAAGGATAGGAAACTTTAAAATTAATATGAATGATTATGGCTACTAACATCATCAGGATATACAGTACATGCACACTGTTGTTTAACATAATTTCAGCCATTAAGTTCAACAGGTTTTATGGCTTTCTTGCTATTTATAATATAAGGATGTAAACATTTCTTATAAATAAATAAAGCTTTAGAAAAATTAATTATGTGCACACAGTTGTGCAACAGTATTTCAGCCAACGTAAGAGTAACAGTGTGGCAATAATCCAAATAATAAAACAATTGTCATTTCCCAACCAGGTGCCTGATGAGCCAAAATGCAATTTCTCTGTGTTGTATATATTCTGTTGTGAAAGGCTAGAGCAATTTCAGACTTGGTTCTTTCAGAGTGATTGATGTTTCTCCATTGGAAAAAAATTGACTGAAAACTCTCAAGGAATTTAAAAGTGAAAACTCCTGTGGAACTGCTAGCTAAGCATTCAGTATATGAAGGAAGAGATCCTCACTGTCAAAGGTTACATGATGTTCAGCAAGACTTATAAAATAAGAAAAACAGGTCATTGGGTCACAGAGATGTGTGGAAAATTTGGGATGTCATTCAGGACATCCATTTAACAAGTGATCTCCCCACTGGGATGGGATCTGTGAGACACCTGCTGTAAAACCTCATCTTTATTTTTGTTTGTCAAATAGTATAAGGTGACTAGTGTAAAAAAATCAGGGCATGATTTCTAAGATCCATCTCATAAAAGAGTGAAAAACTGTTAGGTAAAGTCAATATAAGAAGACTACATTGCTGCACTGATTTAAAAAGATATGAAATGACTTGGACAACAAAAGGCAAGGGAGGCAGTCACATGAACTTCTCTTCAAAGCCTGGCATTAGATAATCTGGTGAAAGGGGATTGTTGACCTTGCATGGCAATATGTTTTTCCTGTGTAGATGTGTATCTCTGCATTCTAAAATATTTCAGTGTTGGCTGAAATGCAGTAGTAGGTCACAATTACCGTATTTGCCAGCATACAAGATGACTTTTTGGCCCTGAAAAACATGCCTCCAAGTGGGGGGGGGTCGTCTTGTACGCCGGGTGCATGTCTAGCAAACCCTCCCTCTCTCCCAGCGAAGTCACTTACCTGGTAGTAAGACCCAGTAGAGCCCCGCTCCTAGCCTGGGAACAACTGACTCTAGTGCCGAACAGCTGACTGTCGGAACAGCAGAGAGGCGGCAGCCATTTTGAGATGCGACCACATGGCTGCTGCCTCTCCAA